CCCTGACCGGCTGCACTCAGCTCTGCCCGCAGCCTTCTCTTCTCCAGGCTGAACACCCCCAACTCTCTAACAGTAGAACATCAGTTCTGCTAGGCTATACTCAAAGGTAGGCTTATTACTTTATTCAGGATATACCTGCACCTTCATTCCCCCCCCCAAATAAGCATTCTAAGGGAATTTAACCGTGGTACATAACACACATCAGTGCACAGTGAAAGGCCACACACATCTAGCTTCTAACAAAACCCACAGGCCTACAAGACTGCTATTTTTTCTCAGAACAAACAAGAGATTAAAATGAAAGAATAAAGATATCTTTCTACTCTATCCAATTAACAGATTAAACAATAGCTTCTGCTCTTTTTTTTTTTTTTTTTTTCTCACTGTACGGTTTCTGGCATTTGCAACTCCTCTTCCAAACAAAAGCAGCCACTGCCCAGCAATAATATAATCCCAAGAGAAAATGATTAAAAATGCAAAAATACTAAAAGCTACTGAAGAAATGAGGAGAATTGTGAGAATCACCGAGTTTGCAAATTCAAGCACGGAATTAATAAAGGGCAAAACAAGATCCTTTATCTTGAACATTATCATATATTAAAACAAAAGGCCTTGTTAACGTAGCTGCTATGTTTTTGGCTTCTGATATCCCTAGCTTACTGTCAACTGTACTCTAAATATATCCATTTGGAAAACCAGTTTCAAAACCAGTTTCTCTGCTAACTCTCTAAAGTAGTAAAATTTTATGTATTACTAACATTCTTATCTATATATGTTACTATTGTTATTGTTTATTATTATTATAGACTATTATCATTTGTGTATGTTTAAACTGACCTTCAGCATGTCTTTCTGCATTGCCCACCCCGCTTCCAGAAAGAGGGGAAGAGTGGCCAAGCAGCACCTGCCCTGCAGGACGTACCTTGTGTCGGGGTAACTTCGTGTTTCCCCTCCCTGAAGTCTCTGTAAAGGGGAGTGACCCCCCCCTCCAGGCAGCAATTCCTGAGCAGGGAAAAGGCGGACGCTGGGGTAACCCCCCCCTCCTTTTGCTGCTCGAGGAAGTGCTAAGTTGAACCAAGAGTACGTGTGTCAGGTGTATCTGAACAGTGCCTGGAAGGACTTACTGAGCAGAAGAGACATGGAATGGAGTGAAACCACGCCTGTACAAGAGTACAAAGCCTAAGATGGCAATAATAAACTGAAACGACTACAAATTACACAAAACATGCAAACCAGCTAAAAAAAAATACAGGAAAAGTAAGTGAAGGAGCCTGAATCTCAGTAACACTTCATCAGGGTGGCATAAGCACATATGAACGCTGCTCTGAGCTTTCGGTGCTGTGATGGTTCCTCCCCAGAAAAAGAACAGCACCTCCCTGCATGCAACGGGCTGGAAGAGGGCAAACTCAAGACCTGAATCGCCTTGGACTGCAGTCTTGTAGCCAGGACAGGGAGAATTTCAAGGCTATTTGCAATACAGGAAAGAACCCACCTTTGGAAACCTGTCCAAAGCAGTAATCTAGTTGTGCGTTTCCTGAATTGGTACAGACATAATCTAATTAATCTACACAATTGAGTTCGAAAACAGTCATTGATTACAAACAGCAATAGATAAACAAACGGGAACGTAAATCTCTCAATTCAGTCTGCACAGACAGAACACACCCTCTGGAAGGAAAACCAGCAAAATAACTTTTGCTTGCTTGCTGCAGAATGGTTGAGCTGCATGATAATTTAAGTTATGTCATTACTAAACAGGTAAGAGGACTGTATCACATACAAACACACACTTTTTAAATTCTAGTTTTACAAATCTGCCACTGTTGGGTTTTGGTTGGTTTGTTTTTTGTTTTTTTTTTTTGTGGATTTTTATTTACATGCAGCTTCTGGATAAGGAAGCGTAACCTGGCCTGCTTTGCTGCTGCTGAACGGCTGGTAAATTCAACAACTATAATCAAGTAAACAGCAACAGGATTCAGATGCCACTTTTTCCCCTTGCTTCTGTCTCTCTTACCTGCTTTTCCTCAGTTTCCTCATCTGTAAAACAGACATAAGACTTCCCTGATTTATAGGCGTAAGTTGAAGTGTAAAAATGTGCTTTTGAAACCAGCAGTTAAATTATATTTTTATAAATAATTTTTATGTAACCTTGATAGATGCGCAGCTCTAACCTACATTTGTCTTATGTGACTGTGTTTCTGTTTCGTGTTCCATAGGGTCCTTTCACTTTAATAAGTGGGGCCCTAGGATACACTATCTGCTCTGCAGTGTGAAAGGATTATAAATCAGAGGGGACAATTAACAGTGGTACTGTTCTGCTGGTCTTCATTATGTTTTGAAATTATCATGCCACAGATGTGGAGAGAAGTGTTCATTCCATAAATTTATGTGCCAGATCTTTGCTTAAGATGTTAGAAGAGGCAGAAGTGTTCTTTAAATGGGACCGTTGGGATTAGATGGAAACTTACAGAAAGATCCTCATGCCACGAAACGATGATGAAGGCAATGCTTCTGCTAGGCACTGTTTTGTTCAAATTCCCACCTGCCTCTATGTTCTGCACTAGCACCTAATACTAGTGGTTTGAAGCTGCGCCAGGGCAGGTTTAGGCTGGACATTAGGAAAAATTTCTTCACCGAAAGGGCTGTCAGGCTCTGGAATGGGCTGCCCAGGGAGGTGGTCGAGTCCCCATCCC